AAGCTGTCATGGACAGTATTTTTAAGGATATTCCAAATGTTTGTGTTTACTTTGACAATGTGTACATAACTGGTAAGAATGACACTGAACATCTTAAAACACTTGATAAAGTCTTGAAAATAGTTGGTGAAAAAGGTTTAAAGATAAACAAAGATAAATGTCAATTCATGCTGACAGAAATTAGTTTTCTTGGTTATATTTTGAGCAAGCAAGGTCTCAGACCTCAACCTGAGAAAACAAAAGCCATTAAAGAAGCACACTAACCTGAAAATACCCAACAACTAAGAGCTTTTTTGGGCTTAATAAATTACTATGCGAAGTTCATAGGGAATCTGTCTGGTAAACTATCACCACTGTACAAGCTGCTACAGAAAAATGCAACTTGGCACTGGGGTAAACAACAAGATGCTGCTTTTAATACAGCAAAAGAAGCTTTGTCTTCTGACACCTTACTAACTCACTATGACCCAGGGAAAAGACTTATCTTAACATGTGATGCTTCACCAGATGGTGTAGGAGCAGTTTTATCCCACATAGATGAAAAGGGTGACAGACCCATTGCTTTTGCCAGTAGATCTTTGAACCAGGCTGAGAAAAAATATTCTCAGTTAGATAGGGAAGGCTTAGGCATCATTTTTGGTGTTAAGAAATTTCATAAGTTTCTGTTTGGTAGGAAGTTCACCATCTTTACAGATCATAAACCATTGCTAGGTTTATTTGGGGAAAACAAACCCCTACCTGAGCATGCCTCACCAAGAATTCAAAGATGGGCTATCACACTAACTGCATACAATTATGAATTGAAATACAAACCTGGATCTGAGAATAGTGCAGATAGTCTTAGTCGTTTACCTTTAAAAAAACCAAAGCCTTAGTTATGTACCAGAAGATGTATTTGTTCTTTTCACTATCATGGATAACTCCAATATAAATGTGAATGATGTTAAAAGAGAAACACAAAAAGATGAGTGCTTGATAAAAGTATATGAGTACTGTAAGAATGGTTGGCCTGAAGAGTCAGTGAATGATGATTTAAGGCCATATAAAATAAGAAAAACAGAGTTAAGTCTAGAAGATGGATGTGTACTATGTGGGTCAAGGGTTATTATCCCTAAAATGTTCCAAAAAGAAAATTTAAGAACTTTACATGATACTCATCTTGGTTCTTCCAAAATGAAGAGTCTTGCACGGTCGTGGTTCTGGTGGCCACATATGGATGCTGATATTGAAAAAATATGTAAAGCTTTGTTCAAGCTGTGCACAACATTCAAAGCAACCAGCTACAGCACCTTTGCAAAACTGGGACTGGTCAATCGAACCATGGAAACGTATACATATAGATTTCGCAGGACCCTTCATGAACAAAATGTTCTTAATTGTTATTGATTCACATTCTAAGTGGTTAGAAGTTAAAATCATGAACACAATCACTGCAAGTGATACCATTATAGAACTTAAGGAAATATTTTCAACCCATGGATTACCTGATCAAATTGTTTCAGATAATGGGCCTAGTTTCACTGCTTTCACTGTTTTGTGTAGCAAATGGTATTGAGCATATAACCACATCACCTTATCACCCTGCTGGGAATGGTTTGGCTGAAAGAGCGGTAGGCATATTCAAAACCGCTATGGCAAAAATGAGTACCGGTAACAAGTTTTCTCTCAGAGAAAGAGTAAACAGGTTCTTAGCCAAATACCGCACAACTCCTCATATAACAACAGGAAAATTAAAACTCATCTTGACCTACTACATACAACTGTCCAAATGTCTGTTTCCCAGCATCAACATACACAAAAAGTAAATCATGACAAAACATCCATTGAAAGAGAATTTGGAGTAAATGATGATGTGTATCTGAGAAATTATGGGAGAGGGGAAAAATGGATACCAGGTCAAATTGTTCAATGTACAGGACTGTGTCTTATAAAGTAAAAACAAATGATGGACTTATTGTCCGTAGACACGCAGACCAGTTAAAAATAACTTGTGCAGATAATAAGTGTGAATCTGTCAATCCCACCAAATCTGAACAGTTCACACCAACTCAGTTTGTTCCACAACCAAGTTCTGTTGATATGAGTGAACCAAGTGGTCTAGAGTCAGAAAATGTAAATTCTGGAATTAATGATTTAGATCCTAGACCTCCTGAGATAGAGAATCCAGATGTTCAGAATCTTGAGTCACCAAATCAAAAGCCACTGAGAAGGTCAAGCAGGACAATCAAAGTCCCAAATACGTTAGACCTATGATTTTAAAGGTCAAAAGGACTTTGACATCATTGTTTTGTATTTTAATTATGTTGTAACATATTGTGCATTGTTTGTAAGGATGTAATCTACAAATTAATTTAAATCATGTAATGTTCATGTTACAATATAATTGGTGATGTTGGAATACTATCATTTGTTCTATTGAGAGATGTGTTGTGTTTACTAAGGGTAAAGGGACGTAATATATTGAGAATTGTGAAGTCAAGGGAACTCACTCTTCTTGTATTAGTATTATATTTATAATGTTGTTTTGAGTGATGCCCCTTGTATTATTGTCTTCCTGTTCCTGTTTCCATCATGGTAGCTGAGGCCCAATAAAGTTCTATATACAAACAGCATGGTTTCTATTGTCAGTGTTTCAATCTACCTCAACAATCAGTCAGACTAAATGGTTTTTTAGAAACTTTACATTTACTAACTGGAATAAAATCATGCTAAAATGTTCAAAAAGTTCTATTAACAAGCTTTGATAGGTACTGTTATGGTTAAATAAATAAGTGGAACACCTGTTGAGTTAAACCGCATCTTAACAACCAGTCAAAATACGACACAAACACAGATGTAATAACCAACTTAAATGACTACATTCATTTTACATGTTTAAAAATGTCATTAAAATCGAAATCAATATTCTGGAATAATGCAACACGTGTGCCTAGCTTAGCGTAATTAATGTAAAGGAAAAATATCTTTGGAGCATGCACTATAAGTATTAATAAAAGGATACAATATTTTTGCTTATGTAAGACAAATAACATTTTGATATTTACGAAAATAATTTATGTGATGTATTTATCAAGCTTGCTGAAATAGTGTAGTGCTTATGTGGTGTGGTCTTAAATAATACTTTGGTTAGAGGTCTATGTTTTGTCAATTTTCATTTCACCATACATGACAATACGCTCTGCCTGCCCGTAAGGTAAACACAATGTTTAGATTAAGAACATCTGAGTAAAACAACCAATATTATAATTTAAATGTTTGTCTCTAGATACACTAAAAACTCATTTGAACTAGCTAACGATTGTCATTTCCAGTGCAAGTGCAAGTAAAAATATCTCGGGTGTGTTTGCTATAAATAGTTTTTCTATATTTAACCAGTTTGTCTGAGTGTTCTGGTAAACAAATATTTCGGTAAGTTTTTACAATGTATAACCTATCATAGTAGAACGACAATATCTTTAAGTACTTAAATATGAAAAAGAGAATTAGCAAATGCCATGTTCTGACATTAGCGCACACCACATATTGGCAACCTATGACATTACATTGTAAGTAAAAATACTAGCACTAGCCATGGCTATAGTCGCTGTTTGTGAAGTTACTCGTTTCACTGTTGCTAGTAGTCCTTACACAGTTCTTTAGCTCAATATGAGAACTTTAAAGTCCGATATAAATTATAATGTAACCGTTCAATTGATAGCCTGCTATAAATTCTGATTTCATAATTTCATACATGTAATAAACTCTAACAAAAGTATAAACTTTGTTTGACAATGGGAAAAGAGTAAATGTGTTTATGTGTGGGAGTGGGAAGGGAGGGGGTGAGGGGGAGAAATAAGATGGGGGTGGTTCATCATTTTTTTCATTATATTCATTGCGAATATTTAAGCTTAGTTTAAAACGGACTAAATTAGTATTTCCGTGTCGGTCAACCCAAAAAAAAAAAAATAATTGAAAATTTAAACATAGAAACATTGTTGTATGATATTTAAACCACAAATAAAACCAAAGATTGCAATTAAAACCAACAAAGGCATGCTATCGTGAAGCTTTTTAAATAACAATATGTCTCCCATACAAACGAGGTTAGTCAATAACCTATCGTGAATTGTTTTGGTTTATTTTACCTAATATTATTGGTCTATCGTATCAATCATTATCTTTTGACCTATAATTTTATGTTTATCAATAGATTGACTTATTTTCTACAACACAACAAAATATATGATTTTACAATTTAAGTAAGTGTTAAGTCACTTTAAGTAGGAATTTTATATATCTTCCTATCAGCGGTGTTTATAATGAACTTCTTAAGTTTGTTACTATATAATTTAGTTGTTGATAGCGTACGCTTAGCAACCTCTTCCGCCACATATTGTAAACAATAAATCCCTTCCCCCATTTATAAATAAACTTTTTGCTTTGGTTAAAAACACCGTCCCATGAAATGCTTTTTTTTTTTACATGTAATACGATATTTCGTTCAATAAATGAAGTTTAATTTGTGGTAATATAACTAAAATTATAACACTGGTAGTAGATAACAAACTATAGTTTTGACTTACTTTAGATTTATTGCTTTTCCTGTTTTAGTATCTACCGCCTCTAAACTTAAAACCTTGAGTAAGGAAGTATCTTTTCTCCCTATTAATTACGTTCAACTAAATTTTGTCCATGTTCAACTGGCTCTGGTTTTAACCATGGCTTTGGCTACGGCTTTAATGCAAATATATGATGATTTATACAGTTGATCAACAATAATATTCTGTTGCAAAATAGATGAAATAGATGAAAATAATAAGAGACTATAAGTAATTGCAAACAAAAATTAAAGTTTATAAATGTATTTTAAATCATGTAAATTAAAACACTTATTTGTAGCATATTATGCTTAGTAATAGGGATAGTAATGCAAAAATTCATTTAAATTTAACTGACATGATAAAATGTGAATTAGTATTATGTTTGATAACAATTAAATTTTAAAAAAATACATTTAAAATAATATTGATAATAAAAGTATTACAAAAACGTCTGAAATAATATATTTTATGGAGCACATTCAAGCATCTAAGCAAGACCTAAACAACATGTGTTTTAATATATAACATCAAGCTGTGATGATACATAATATAAAAGTAGTAGTATAAAATTATCATATAAATTTTTTTTTTATAATCTTAACTATATTTGATTTACATAGTTGCAAAGTAGTTGGATTGCTTTAGTATATTACTATATTGATAAGTAATTATTAAGTGCATTAAAAAGTACGTAACAAAAAAAAAGATATTTATATTAAGAAATGTGAATTTATCCTTTCTTAATTGAAATACCGTGTGGCAGTTTCTGTGACATTGGCATAAAAAAAGATGAAGTTTTTAGCACTATGTCCATTCACCAATACGTTTTCTATGATGAGTCACGGCTGGCTGGAATCAAGCCAGTGGTTGGAAATCGTAAAATTCTGGTAAGCGATCATATTCATATTCGAAAATGTCGTCCCATAAATTGGCAAATAGCATCAAACATTATGTTAAGAATACTAAACTGATTTGTTTGTTACTACTTATATTTTGATGGTTTTGTTTCAATTAACAAAAAACATCTAAAACCAACACATATGTGCTACAATATTTTTTTTTTTGTAAAATAAAATGACTATATTTTACAAAATAAAGCTAAAGATCGGATCCTTTCTAAAACGTTTACTTAAAAACATAGTTCTAGAAAATAAATATATATAAATGTATTTTTTTTTCTTTAATCATCTACTAAAAGAGTGAAATTTATAGTATGTGATTGTCCTAGCTCTTAAACATTCTTAAGATGCGAAAAAAAAAATGCTTTTGTAGCTAAAAGTATATTTTATTAGGATTGAAAAACACAGTGGTGTAAATTGAAACTTTTGATACTAGTTTTCAACATGAAGTGATTGTTTTGATGTTAATGTATACATTCGCAGAAATACTGTTTTATTTGCTATTTTAGTTGCAAAATGTGGTTAACATAATTTCACAAGGATGTTTACTATAGATATTTTTATGAAGAGATATATTTGAAAAATGGATAGTTATTAATTTATATTTTGAATGGATAATTTTAAATACGAATTTGCTTTTACTACACACATTTAACAATTTTATCTTGTTTAAGGATTATCAAAAGATTTATTTTATATCTTTAAGACTTTTCATATCCACGAACTACACAAGCTTTTATTTTTTTTTAAACCCCTGGTAATAAGTGTTTGTAGTAATACACATATGTTGTTCAATGGAGTCAACATTTATAAACTGCCTGTTATAAACGGGTCTTCTCTCAATAAATCTTCTGCTGATGGCCTTTGTTCTGCCTCAGAAGTAAATGTCTTTTCTAAAAAATCTCTCAGGTTTTTTGACGCTGTGATTGACAGCTCATACTTTGGTTTCTGCAGCATAGCGATTTTAAACAGTACATTGACTGATGCCGTTGTTGAGTTAGGTGGTGATCCAGTTATCATCTCTACAACTGTACTTCCCACACTCCTGTACGAATTTTAAAATATATTATCATATATATTACACAAATGGAATCTATGAAAAGAAAATTGTGCACAATGAAATTAAATATTTTAAAATGCATTATAGATTTAAGAATATTTTTTGTTTACTTATAAAACCTATTGTAACTTAATAATTATTTGAATAAAAAATTCTCACCAAATGTCCAAGCTACAACAATGTTTAAATATTCTCCCTTCAGGGCAGTTAATCATCTCAGGAGCCATATATCGAGTTGTGCCCCTTTCTGCTTCAACACCTTCCTCGTTAAGTATTGTCGACAGGCCAAAGTCTGTTAGCTTAATGTTTGATTCATCCACCATTAGAATATTGGTACCTGTTAAAAATGTGAATAATTATCTCAAAAATTGGTAAGCTCACTCTTTGAAATTGGTTACACTTGTATTAAAAAAGAATAATATTATATTGTAATACCTTTGATGTCCAAATGCAAGATGTTGGTTTCATGTAAGTACTTCACGCCTTCCAGAATTTGAATTGTAAACTGTCTGGTCAAACCTTCATTGAGTCTTGTGTGTTGTTTGATGAACGTTGAGAGAGTGCCCTGTAAATAAAACACAAACATTGTCAGCAAAACTCAACTGACATTTTAATAATTTTCTTACGTGAGTATCGAATAATACAGTGGTTATTTAATAAAGAAATATTGTTTTACCATTTTTATGTACTCCAGAAATAAGATAACATCATTTTCTTTCTTGAGATACCCATGAAACTGGACGATATTTTTGTGTTTCAGTTTAATTAATATCGAAGCCTCTGATTGTAAGCTCTCCTATTAAAAATAAATACATATGTGTACATTTGTAAATATACACGGTCATGTATATATATATATATATATATATATATATATATATATATATATATATATATATATATATATATATACGATGTATATCAGAGAAGTTATTAGAAATAAAATAAATAATTTCTAATATTAAACTTTGTGAAATTAGAGAATCGACTATTTAATGATATGCTACATGTTTACAAGAAACATCACTGCTTTATCATTTTAAAATTTAGCGTAACAAATTTCTATCGCATGTCATCATATGATCGCCCTCATGTACCATCCACTTCTTTTGGTTATTTGGGTCTGCGTGTGTTTTCTTGGGAACAAATGTTTCATCATCTGGTTGGTCTATATCGACAACAAGATGGACGCTACCAAAACCTCCTTGACCTAACGGCGTTGGTTTAATTTCAAATCTCTTTGGGAACTCATCAGACAGCACGATATCTACAGATATTAAAATATAATGTCTATCAAAAATAAACCCTAGACACTTAACAATTAATAAATATTCATTATAATATCATAAGATGATGTTAATTAAATTAGTAATATACTAGCTAAAGACAACTGATATTATAATTAACCTGTTGTAGATGGCAATATTCCTGTTGTACGTCCAGCTGTCCAAAGTATCGAATGTACGTTAGCAGAAAGATCCTCATTATGGCTGTTTATTAAACGTTGTAAATTGCCATTTAAGTCTTTGTCTGTGATGATAATCTCACTTCCTTCTTTATTCCTACATAATCCTCTCAAACATTGCGTCGTAAATATTAGGTCATCAGGATCATCATCATCTGATAGACCACCTGTTAGTAGTTCATACAGTGGAAGCAAATGAACAGCCGTAGCTAAAAGTAGAAAGAAACAATTATGATTACCTCATTCAACTCGTCGTCATTTTGTTCTAAGATTTTAGCCAGCCCTTGAAGCAGCTCAGATCGTAAATATCCATGTAGCATTTTTTTCTTTGTAACATATTGCATTAAAGTTTCCTGTTTTAACATATTAAATACGCACATTGTACAAGTGCAGTATTTTAAAAATATAACATTCTTACGGAAGAGATAACTAAGGTAAAGTTGGTATTAAGACACGTTCTTAATTCTAAGTATAACGTATTTATATTAATTAAAACGCCGATGTAGGGTAACCTGGAGTAATTTCACACACTGGGTAATTCCACATCCTATACACTGAATTGCTTTTTTACTCTCTCGTATACGAAGTATAGAGAAAGTCTTGTAATTGTGCAAAGATATAAATCGATATTTGTGCAAATCTCGACGTTTTACCTCTCCCTGAGTCGGAAAAACATAATTTTTTAATCTTGTCCATATGTCTAGGTGTATTTGTGTGTATGTGTGTCTGTAAACACGGTAACTTGAGTAACGTTACAGCTAGGTGGATGACATTTCATATATTGGTTTTATATCAACGTTCTAGTAACCAGAAGTGGCACTTATTTTACGTTCAATTTTTTCAAAAGCTTATAAATTGAGTACTGTTTGAGATGGATAAATATAATTTCGCTTGTAAGTAAAACATCCAAGTTTATATCTTCCTTCAAAATTTGAGTAATTTCTGTTGACCGGGAGTAGTAAGTAATAACTCCTAATTTTTTGTTATGCTCGTTCATTCACTACTAGTGGGAATCGCAAATAAACTTACGCTGTTATCGACTCCTTAAAAAAACACATGAATTTTTAAAGTATTAATTTTAGTCTTCACTATTATACACCTATTGTTTGCCATTCACTTTGGTTCGCAATTTTTTTTTCCATAAGATACTATTCTATTAATAAAAGTTAAAGTAATTAACAATGGATTAAAAATCATGCCTATATTCCGAGTTGATATTCCGCGTAGTGTTATATAATAATAATCGAGATCATTCCCGGTTTTTTTTATGTTTAATTTAATTTTTTGCTTGTTTTTACACTTGCTGGTTAATTGTTCATTTCGAAAGTGATAATGCCTTGAGTATATATTACTATGTTGTATTGACTTTTATTGACATTATTTTTTTTTCATAAATTAGTTTTATCTTGGGAAAATGAATGTGTGTAATAAGATACAACTTCCTGTCGAAGTCAAAAACTTAATTTATACAAGTATGTATGTTTATAACCTAATTGCTATTTATAATCAACGTTGGTGTTAATTTAATGATAAGAATAAAAACTTCAAGACAGATAAGTGTACACATTATATATGAGCCTATTTTTTACACCATGTGTAATAGTTAAGCAAATTCCATACAATCCATTTAGTTAAATAGTATTTGACATGTTACACTAAACAGTTTAAATCATTACTTTCTGCCTCCGTGTCTGTGGTAGAATCGTCTTCTATAAGCACTCGCAGAAATGTTGCAATCATTGATGTGTCTTCTTCTTTAAACTCCATGTTTTGAATTACCTAGTGAACATTAACATGCATTAGATTTTATAAAGGGATCTTAATTTGAAAGGATAAACGTAGTCTATTGTAGTATTTAAAACTAAAATATGTAGTACTTTCAAATGTAAGTTACATTTTATTCAACAATTAGTAAAAAAATATGAATACACAAGATACACTAGCTGGTTGAAAGGTGGAAGTGACGAGCACTTGTTTAGTAAGGTAGCAAAATAGTATAAGTGAGGAGAGCTCTAACTCAGGTATCTTTACTTTCCCTAACCTAAATCACGTACCAATCAGAGAGCCGGGTGGCCCAATGAACGTCCTGTAAGCTAGCAGAAGAAAATAAATTAGAAGGATGAGAGGACGCCTGATATACAGGGGACCGTTGGGAAACTTTAGGTGCCCATCCGTGCTCTACTGGTGGAGACCCGGATTCAGTCAACGATTATACTAGTCCATTGTTTGAAAAAGTGCGTTTTGTCATTTACTTACATTGTATGTGTTGTTTACTGAGAAAAATTTCTTCGCTCCCTTCCTTCTGGCAATGGTATATAAAACGGCAACAACTCGACCAATGATGAAATTAGATTGGGAGTTCTGTAATTTTAAACATTGACATTCATTTAATTATTTGCGATCACAACTAATGGTTTGAAAAGATGTTAATGTATATCAAGTCAGCAGACCATCATTTAGTCCTTTGACAATATAAATCAATTATAACACCAAATTGTTGTCGGGGAAATAAACGAAGAGGAAGGTACACCGCTAAGCATCATCAGTACATTATCAGTAAAATTATAATTCAACGAAATGACAGTCTAACTAATAGTTTATGCAATTTTGGAAAACGACAACAACAAAAAAAAAACACAATGCATTCCTGTTGACAAGAAAGCTAAAAATTAGTGGAATCCGACTTTGGAGCGAGGGTTGCAGATGTGTTTCATATATAGGTCACCTAGGCATGTGTGCACGTTGTAGTAACCTTATTGGGGTTAACTAAAGCGTTCGATAAAATATACAGATGTAAATGATATAGCAAGACACACACTTATTAAACATCTGACTGCTCTCTCTTTAGTTAAACTGGGTTTTGACAAGAACAAGTTAAACAAGAATATAAAGAGTTGTCTTAAAGTAAATCTATGCTCTGATCTCGGCAAATAAATAACATGTGTACTTAAGGCAATCTTTATACAATAGACGTAAATTAATAAATAACCATTAATCTGAAAATATTAGGTAATAAAAAATAAGGATGTATGTAATTATTTTTTTTTGTGAAACTTAGGTATTTGACTTACTTTCATTCATCAATAAAAGCAAAAAAATGTAAAAGAAATAATTAGGTATGTTATGAATAGAAATGAAAGCAAATTACTAAGTACGTATTTAAAAAATGCTATCAATAAATTACTATACCTGCACGTTTTTATGATAGATGAGGAAATCTGTAAATGTCTTTACAGCGTCCTTCTCGGCCAAAATCTACAATTACATATTGAATAAACTTCTAAAGAACTTCTTTCTTTTTGTTTTGTCCAATTAACATAAAAAAATTCTTTTTTAACTGTGTAACTCTGGTGTTTAATATACATTTAAAAAAAAATTATCGTGCAATAATTACCAAAGCAAACTCTGCACTTTTATTACTACCGACCATCAACAGATTCATCATATCACGAATTAAAGACAAAGTAAAACCTGGTGCTGTTGTATCAAGAAGATTTTCATCTTTTAAACATCTCCATGTAATATCTGTAACGACAATGCATCAAGAAAGTGCTTCATTTTTTCTTTTACTTTTATTAGTTTCTTACTCTGATTTTGATCGTTTAACCGTTGAGCTAAAATTATTTATTATGTTATAATCCATAAATTCTAATTTTGGTTTTCAGTGGAGTGTACGCCTCTGAACGAAGTACTAGTGTAATTATAGGTGTTATTGTAGGGATAGAGATTGGCATAGGGATATTTGTCTGTTTATAAATATGTTTGAGTTTCGGTTCCAGTCAAACATGTCATATGGCGACTTATAAATGCCTGAATGTAAAACTACTTCATGAACCAACACAAATTCATACATAAATTTAGCTCATAACTGCTATGCGACTACTTTAAACATTTTGAACATGTTTTATTTAAGCCAGAGAATAAATGATGCTTAAAAGCGAGTTCAGATACTTGTGTTAGGGTTTGAGAATTTCTGTCTAGACAGGAACCATATTGGCACGAGACATTTTTTCAGGAGTCCTGATGACAGAAGCCTATTTGTCGTGAGTCTAATTGACGGGGTCTGTTTGTTACGTCCCTTGCATGTCCCTTGCTTGTGTGTAAGTGTTGTGTGCTTGAACGACAGGTAACCCCCCCCCCTTTAGTATGGTTGTAGCCCTTGGTTGAGTGTGGTTACATGGAGCGAGAGGTGTTCACGTCAGGTGTGTCAGTTGACAGGTGTCAGAGCGTGTGCCAGTGTGTGAAGCAGTTAGTTGTAGTGTGGCTGTGGACGTGGAACGTGGTGTTGAGTATTCTTATTTATGTTGTACACCCCATTTGATCTTTTATTATTTATTACTGAATACATATATATATATATATATATATATATATATATATATATATATATATATATATATACATATATATATAATATCGTATTATTATTATTATATTTATAGAAGGTTAGTGTTATCTACTGTTGTATACGTTGTATTTGTCTGTTGCTATATATACCCCTTGACAGAAGAACCCAACAGGGTCCATTTCTCACTGGCGTTTTGACGGATCGGCTATACGGGGCTATTTCGTCGGGGCTATTTCGTCGGGGCCATTTTGATAATGAAACGTTACATCATAAATGTTGCATATAAAAGGGATAAATTTGAAATTCAGATTCGCTGTCATCAACAAAACATTAACTTTTTTTTACTAAGTCAAATAAACCGGAATCTGTCTAGTGCTATATGTTTTCCACACAATATTCCATCTTCAACATAGTCAGTAGCTTAATTAACATACAAGTAGCAACAGTCAGTGACTTAACATACAAGTAGCAACAGTCATTGACTTACCATACAAGTAGCAACTGTCAGTGACTTAACATACAAGTAGCAACTGTCAGTGACTTAACATTCAAGTAGCAACTGTCAGTGACTTAACATACAAGTAGCAACAGTCATTGACTTGACATACAAGTAGCAACATGCTAGTAACATCTGCAAGGTTGTAGTGAGGGTCCTAAACATCCGGCTGTTCCTTTTGTCGGTCTTGTTACACAGCTTTTACTAAATTAAGACTGCAAGCTGAAAAACTAAATTACCCGCATAGTTAAGATCTAAGAGTAATGTGAAAAACTTCAGATTATCTTCCTCTTTTAGAACATCGTAAATTGTCTTCAAACATCTCTGACATATGAAGAAATGTAACGCGTCAAAGTCTCTCATGTTAGAAAACTCCGACATAACATCAGAAACAAATTCCTGTAAATCATCATAGCTTGGTTTCTGTAAATAAAAACAACAATATTTTTAACATGATTGTAGTTACATATGTGTAATATATTGTATCGAATTCTTTATCAAATACATGTAATTCAAGAGAGAGTTGTTAACGAATGAGATCGATAAATACGTCGGATATTTGAGTCTAAAAAGGCAAACTACTCAAGCGCAAATAACAGATCCCATGCAACTGATAATATTCAAATCAAAACGCCTCACGGTCGTTGGCTTACACCAATGTTAATAGCTACTTTTTAAACTCAGATTTCCCTATGGATGTATGTCTGGGAACGAATTTACATATATGTTATGATAGGTTATAAATATCTATCATGGCGTCTCCACCTCTCCCCCCTTCTTGCTACCCCACAGGTAACGGTACACACCTGGACCTGAGTCCAGCGGTATTGTAAGGCTGACCGGGCCTCGACCTCAGACTGCGGTCGTGAGGGCGGAGCCTGAGTCATGTGACCTGTTGCGTAGGGACGCCACAGAACGGTCACTCTACCTTCCCTCCCCCCTTTCGGATGTACACGTTTTTGGTGCTAAGGCAATAGCCATTATTACATTATACTTATGTTTGTGCTAAGGTACTTGTTATCTACACAGAAATTAACTTAAGTTTTCGCAACGTGTGTAGAGGATTATGTGGCTTCATTTGAAGGTACCAGACACTTACTTTTATTAACTGCACTGTTATAAATTAATAAATAAGTATGAAATGGGTATATAACAATGTATGAATGAAAAGAATATTTTTTAGTAATGTTTATAGTAGGCCCTATGTCAGGCTAATGTAAATGTATTATCTTGGTCACAATAGTAAAATTGTATGTGTCTGAATAAAAGTGTATATCACAAAGATGTTAGGAAGTTTGTCAAATGTATTTTACAGCCGGCCAGCATGGGGCTAAAGAGACGCCACAGAGGTCCTTCTGTGAGCAATGGGCCCACCAGGGGTGGAACTACAGTGCCGCCAGACCCCGCAATGCGGGGGGGGGGGGGGGGCACGCCATTTAGGGACCCACAGCCGATAAATAATCATAAGACAATAATTCTACAAAGCGTTCATGTTTTATATTCTTTTGGCAGACTAATAATTATTATAAAGAGGACCAATAGCGCAAATTAAAAATAATGATTTTCTCAAAACACACTAATGCACTTACACATATGATATGATGTAGTAATTTGGTTTAATTAAAAAAAAAATTCTAAACCCGAACAGGCCAGTAATCAGTATCCTATGTTCATATTTTGTGCTTGCATATAAATATATATATATATATATATATATATATATATATATATATATATATATATATATATATATATATACATATGTATGTATATATATATATATATATATATATATATATATATATATATATATATATATATATATATATATATATATATATATATATATATATATATATATATAATGGGGGGAGGGGCTATAAAATTTTTGCGGGTGGCCCTTTTTTTCTAGTTCCGCCACTGGTGCCCACGCCGCCCTGATGACGAGTCACCATTTCAGGCTAATCTAACTTTGCTCCTTTATATATTACTCTATGTTAACCTTCATGTATTAAAATCTAAATAAGTGTTTAACCTTTGCAATGTGTTAATTATTGACTTGTATTGTTACACACTTTTCACTGAACCAAGTATTGGCAACCAGTCAATAATAAAAACATTACATTAATAAAACGCATTATTACGTATTAAGGGACCTCTTGTCTAACGAGACAAACGATAGGCCAAACAAGCAATTGTGTAGCTGCGACTACATATATATACATATATATATATATATATATGCAAAGTTAACTTGACGCGGGTGTAAATAACACTTCCATATAGGGTGCAATACGATCTGAACAAGAGACCAAATCAAACATTAAGACCGCTTAGACTGGGAATAATAATCACATTCTAATTAAACAACAATGAGACACAGGTAAAATACATCATTGATTAAATGATAATGAAGGGGCGGCTTAAGTGGCCGAGATCCATCATGAAGAACAACGAATGCCACGCGGCTACTCTATGACATAATCTTCAAATGACCATTAGAAACCTTGATTCATGACAGGTAATGTTTAAAATATTAAAGCAGACACTTTTAATAAAAATTTAAGAACATGAATCGAAAGCTTAAAGTCAAAACTACAAAATGTTAAAAAAGTTACATTGCTATATTTACAGGACGAGAACCAGAACAACAACCACAAACTAGATACAACACACACACAAAAGATATCAGTCTACAGTAATTATGAACCTTAAACACTGAGGAAATAAAATCCGACTCTTTAAAATTTCAGGAGAATACCTGACCAACAGAATAATTGTGTGAGATCAATTATGGTATTCTATGATTTCGGGTGATCTCGCTCACTGACGTTGATATAAAGGGGTACGTACGGTTGAGCGGTGTGCCTCGATAATGAATTTAAGCTGTTACTATATCATTTCGTTTGTGGGTTACCCATGTATTTTGTTGGCGTCCTGTGTTATTCAAGTAGTTCAATGTACTGAACTATTTCAACTGTTGAGATCTTATTCATTGTTTCAACCTGAATGGACTATATTTGTTGTAAATAAAATGACAAGTTAAGCTCGAAAATATACTGTTACATTTCTATAACGAACCCACAAACACATGGACGGGGGGAATAACAGGGAAATAACAGATACGGGGTAATACGTCATGGTTATTGTTGGAAGGGGCAAATACTTGGGTGGAAAGAATTGACAGAGGTATCATGTCATGTCATGTTTGCTTGGCGTCCCTGCTGGGACATAGGCCGCTGACAAGAGCTTTCCAGACGTTTCTGTCCAGGGCTAGTCTCTTCAACTGTGCCCAGGTGTATCCAATCTTCTTGGTGTCTTCTTCCAGGTCACGTCTCCAGGTCTTTCTTGATCTGCCCCTCTTCCTCCTGCCCTGTGAATTCCAGGTGAGGGCCTGTCTTGTTATGCTGGATACAGGCTTCCTGAGTGTGTGGCCAATCCATTTCCATTTTCTCTGGAGGATCTCTACTTCAACTGGCAGTTCATTTTTCCGTTGCCATAGAACATCATTTCTGATGGTTTTAGGCCAGCGAATTCGCAGGATCTTTCTAAGGCATACGTTTATAAATGATTGTATTTTCTTCTTATTTATATCAGTTATTCTCCATGTCTCGGCTCCATAGAGTAAAACATGTTTTACTAGTGTGTAGAAGATCCGGATTTTTATTCCAAGTGTTAAATCTCCCAAACCCCAAACGTTTTTTAGTTGGTTGAAGACTGCTCTTGCTATACCCGTCCTTATTTTTATGTCTGCTTGTGTCCCACCCTGCTTATCAACAATACTTTCAAGGTAGGTGAATCTATCCACTTCTTCTAGGGCTTCTTCTGCCAGTATTATAGGGTGGCACCCCGTAGTGTCTCAACAATTTCCACATTGACTGCCTATCCAGGCTATCTAAGGCCTTCTCGTAGTCTATGAAATTAGTATAGAGAGATGAGTTCCACTCTTGGGTCTGTTCAATGATGATGCGCAGGGTAGCAATTTGGTCTATGCATGACCTTTCCTTCCTAAAGCCCGCCTGTTGATCTCGAAGCTGGGGGTCTATCGCTTCCTTCATTCTGTTTAATAATATTCTGTTGAAGACTTTGCCTGGGATGGACAAAAGTGTTATCCCTCTATAGCTAGAGCATGCACTAAGATCGCCTTTCTTTGGAAGCTTTATGAGTAGTCCCTCCTTCCACTCCTCTGGTATTTGTTCATCTTCCCAGATTTTCTTGAAGACTGTGTGTAGCAGTGTGGTGCTAGTTTCTATATCTGCTGTCAGTGCTTCTGCCGGTATATCATCTATTCCTGGAGCCGAACGCCCCCCACGATCAAGCTGGGTACCAGGCGGTAGGACTTCCGCGACTAGTAGGGGGGGGGGGGGAGGAAAGCCCGGTAAGAGCCGACGGAGAAGCGACCGACGTGTAGCAATTACACCGACAATAAACGACTTGCTACTACCACCATGTGTCGGAGTTTGCTACACTGCGACCTGCCTGGCTAATGGAAGTCAAACTTCTGAGCCGGTTTTCGTATATATATATATATATATATATATATATATATATATATATATATATATATATATATATATATATATATATATATATAGAGAGAGAGAGAGAGAGAGAGAGAGAGAGAGAGAGAGTTTAAACTTGTGGGTTACTATTATGTTTTGGTTGCGTATTTAACGTAAGTCAATTTGTTAGACGCTGCTTTGAAAAAATAGTTTTACAAACATTTGTGAACATTGTAACATCACAATATAAATGACTATTATAATGTATCATAAAGTGAAATCAGATGAGAAATATAAAATGAGTAATATGACAAACATGATAGGCATTTTACTGTCAATATCCTAAATTAGATTTAGTTGCCGTTCAGAAGGCAATATGGACTAGAAATACATAAATTATAATAGTTAATGTAATATTAGACCTACACAGAATATAACATGGGTTGTACTACAGTGTTCTCCAAGTCTATATTATACTTAAAGTCTGTATTACAATGGTAACTCTGTTTTAATGTTATTCTACCACCCAGGGTAGAAATGAAAAAAAAAAATAGAAATTTAGAAACTTGTCCTTTCGCGGCTTTTTAAGGATACAAAATATACATGTTTTCGACTAAAAACAATTTTGCTCATAAAATTTTTATTTTTTAGTTCAGTACTAATACCTTTTATCCATCTAACCCGAGCATTCTGAACTTCTACAGCCCACGGATATTCTTTTATTTGGATGTGAAACAGGGTACCCTCCAGCAAATGTTACACTACTACGCCGACAGCGGCTATTTTCGAGCGGGTATTACATTATTTATTGCCCGCGGGGAAACATAAACTTTACAGCAATCTAAGGGCCAAGCACTAGTGTCCTAAAAATAAGTGGGATAAAAGTTGTTTTCTACAAAGTAAAGTTTGATATCAATCCCCATATAAGGACATGCACGTAAAAGTAATGAATGGGAAAAGATGCATTGATACGGTTGACCAATCATATTATAGTACAGTAAATCAAAATAATTCACGATAGGTGGCAACTAACCACGTGTGCCAGGCAGCCATCTTGTTTCTAGATTTTAAAAAAAACGATCGCCCGTCTTCGTTTGTTTACTTTTTGCATATACTTTTCTGTTTTAAAATTATACAACATTTAGGTTAATTATTAAAACTTTGCCAAGAAGTGCACTGTTTATTATCATTGGAACACTATTAAACATTGTTTGGTACGCTTTATGCAAAGCTGAAACAATGCGTCATGGACATGTCTGTCAGTTTGATGAATGTGCTGTCCATCCCCTTTACCCCTTCATCCCCTTCTCGCTATTCAACCAACGGCCAGTTTATAATAATTTTACACTATGCTGTGGTAGGTTTGAGCGCATTCATCAGACTTTACATCGGACTGTAAACGACACATGTGTTAATGTGTATGCCCTTCGGTCCGTGAAGGGTGTGCTAGCTACTGATGTAAATACTAGATGGGATAGCACGGAAATCTAGTGCTTGACCTTATCTACACAGATGTTATTCACGGTTCGATAAACATACGTAATCTATGCCTCATTGGATCTCCAACGGTTGAGGTGTGGGATTAGCCTTAAGCGCTGTACCCAGTAGGTTATCATCATAAGGCAATAAACTTGTGTAACCTACAATTTATGTGGGGATAGTTATTGTATTGAAGTGAGAAGACCGGCAAACAAACAAAACCTCATCTGGTTTGATGCTAGCTGTTCTCAGAATAACACTCGATTGATAGGATAGTTATTAATTCATAACCTTTGTATACATAGTTTCTGTTTACACAGAAAAATCTGCCTAAAACTTACAACATAAATCACTTAGACAAATGGTTCTTCCACATATAACAAGACGTATGTTTTCTCTGTGATCCATAAAAGGAAACGCACAGTGTCTTTTAGTTTTTACCGCCCTTCTTTTCTCAACTTTGCATGTTTACTAAAAATAAAACATTCAAATCGCTAAGGCTTTGGAATCCTTTTTCATACAAGACTGAAACATTCCATTTAGCATCATACCTTCTACAAAACAAAGTTTTTACATTACGTTCACTACAAAAAGCCTACTTTAGGCAATATTGATATGTATGTAGCACCACCCATTAATTTTTGTACATAAATGTACGTAAAAATTTGTATTAGAAATAGAGTACGAGCTATCGCAATAAATATGCATAGACATGTATAGTTTTGATTTAGAAATCTAAATCTTTTATCATCTTTTAAAAATCTTTTACGAAAATCAAGTCATTAGAGGTTTTAAGGTTTTAAAAGGTGTTAGTTTTCACACCTTTTCGCGGTTTCCTTGGCAACCAGTAGTAGTATATTAGGTCCCTTTTGGGTATTATGGGTGAGCAGGAGCAGGAGGTGGAGGTGAAGGTGGAACAAAGGATATATAGGAAAATACTCCCCCACCTGGGGGACCCGCAGGAACAATGACATATAGTAAAATACTCACCCACCAGGGTGAGGCGAAGGAGCCGCAGGAACAACGAGATATAGTAAAATACTCCCTGGGGGAGGTGGAGGGACACCGACATATAGTAAAATACTCCCCCGCCTGGGGGGAGGTGGATGGTGAGGGTTAAACATGTTATATAGTAAAATACTCCCCCACCTGGTGGTGGGGGATGCGGAGGGTGAGGAGCCGCAGGAACAATGAGATATAGTAAAATACTCCCCCACCTGGTGGTGGGGGAGGTGGTGGGGAAGTAGGTCAGTAGGTCACCACCGGTGACCTTGTGACGTAATCAGTCACCTTGTGACGTAATTAGTGACCTTGTGACGTAATCAGTGACAAAGTTAAGTAATTTTAATGCGTTTTTTAATTAGTTTGTTTATATTGTGTAAATTTTTATTAACGAGTTACGTAATTTGATTATTTGTTTGTATGTTTATTTTGTTTAAATTGTTTGTTTACTTGTTGTTTAATTACTTTGTTTATATTGTGTAATTTTTATTACGTAACTCGTAAATACATGTATTTTGTGTTTATGAGTTATATAAAGAGTAAAAAACTACATACCTGTTCATTGTGAGCGAGAACTACAATCTTTACATAACAATCGAAGGACCTGTTTTATAAAACAATATATATAGACATAGTAAATGCAATATGATTAAACTGACTACTTATATGTTTCTGTGTTTGTTTCTTTTTTTTTAATCGATATGCTGAAAAACTATTTAGGTACTTGATTGGCATTATGTGAAAAGAGGGATGTAGTGATGTAGGCTATATAAATAGACACAAAGATACATCTGACATATTGATCATGATCCTTCTCGAGATTGGCCTAAATTTGATGTCGACAGTGGAGTAAAATCAAACTTGAACTTTTTGTTGGACAATAGATAATTAGTTAATGATCAGAGGGTGATATAGTGATATTGTTAAGGACAATGTCCTGTTCCCAGATTGAATACGGTTGCTTGTCAGGATGAACGGGTTGATCTCGTGGTATTTGTGAACTGATACATTTATAGTAGACCCAATTGACATTAGGATTAAAGGTTTGTTTGTCTGTCTGTACCTTATTTTTGAGAAAATATACATATTTTTAATGCTGTCTTTAGAGTGCAGTAAAACTCATGTAGGGCTATTTGACGTATATGAGGCGATGTATTTAATTTGTAATTTTAGTTATTTTGCATATTTAATTTTTGAGACTTTATTTAATAGTAAATTGTAATTTTTAGCTTTACAATTGAAAATGTTTAGACATCTTACTTTAAACAATACAAATTACTTACTTCTTAAAATTCTGGAATTCTATATTGTATAGTTCACTGACTGTTGAGTCGCTCAGTTGTGTTTTGGTGTCATTTTCTACATCTTGTTTTAATGCTAGGTATTTGATACGACACATGACTTATTAATATATTTCTATTTAGAATACACATTTAAATTTTGAAATTATGATCTCCACATTTAAATACCAAACTATACTTTTAGCTTGATGATAATAAACAAATCATTAAAAAAACAATTGCATTTTCTCTTGTATCTGTTTAAAATGATTCTAACTTTGTCCAGTAATTTATATATGCAATCGTTTAAGTTTGGACATCGCCGTTAACACTCCAGTTAGTATACAATCACGTTTATGACACACAATTTATAAGTCATCATGACATTGAAAAGAGGGACATGTAAAAGAAGAACTGGGACAGTAATGTCATTTTTTAAAAACAGTAAATGGTTTGTAGTTTCAATAAATACAATGTAGGATAAATAATTGACTATAAAAATGAAACTATTTCATTAAAATAACAACTTAATATGATATACTAAAGGGCTTGAGTGTGTAACGTACATCTTGTCTCACTTCTCACCAAAGCTAGTTTGTGGCATAGTATTTGTTATAAATCTTAGTTGTTAATAAGCCCAAAACGTACACGAATAATGCAATTACATAATTACAGAACGTACTCTAATACAAGGATAGAAAAGATAACACAAATGTTCACCGTATTTTAAGGATTGTGAAAATACAAAAAAAATTTTAGGCACTTCTCTATGCAGATCAAACTAACAATCAGCTTAAGCTGGAAACAAGTTATTAAAAGAGATTCATCTTTAGTTTCATGTTTAATGCGGATACATCAACATTTAGCTGCACAGTTTCCGAAATTATGAAGAGTCCCAATTCTCCATGGTCCCACTACTCTACCTCATATATCCACTAGCTCTTACCCGTGCTTCGCTACGGTATGATGCTCCGGAATAAAAGTATTAAATGATTGAAGATAATCGTACATTATATAAAACAGCTGCACGTTTAAAATTCTTGTGAAATAAACATTTATTTCTCAATAGTAGGTATTAAAAAGCAGGGGAAATTTTAGAGAAAGCACAACAACACACACGATACCATAACACCCAAACCAAACCCACACCATCAACCCACCTCCACTACATTTCCACCTCCGGTTTAGATTATACAGTGATGTACGAGTCGATATATTTTTAAATATCCGGGTTAAGAGAAACATAAATGCATTAAACACTATAGAGATTATACATTTGAATCAATAATAAGGTATTGTTTGCAGATTTGCATCAACTGTTAAATGCTCATATAGATATAACCGAAAACTTTACGGTGCTGAGCATGTTCGTATGCAATTTGGTCTACATTGTGTATGCGTGTGATGTATACGGGTGGTTGACTGAGGGTTTCAATGTCTATGTAGTAGAGTAAAAGTAAAGTTCACTTAAATAACTGACGTTCTTTGGGGCAATTGAAGTGGTACCTAACACACAATAGGGAAATTCATCGCAGCTAGGCATAGTGCTAGACACTATCTCTTTAAATACTTAAATCATAGATTCAGTTGAAATGCACTTCATTGACAGGATTGCAAGACAACTTTATGTATATGTATATATATATATATATATATATATATATATATATATATATATATATATATATATATATATATATATATATATATATATATATATATATATATATATATATATATATATTTATTTATATATATATATATATATATATATATATATATATATATATATATATATATATATATATATATATATATATATATATATATACTTCATCGCATGAGAAGTAAATGTGTGTCGCGCTTCTCTTCTTGATGACATACAAACGTTTTGAAAATATATTAAATGTACTGCTTACCTTGTAAAATTAATTTACAAAAAAGTTTTAACTGGAATTTAAAATTCAGTTCACTACAATTTTCGTCGACAAAAATAGATATTTTTTTCATTGTATTATAGAGTTTGTGTTCAAAAGCTTGAAATAATATACCTAATAAATACAGTGCCATACTATTATTCCTATTAAATGGTATTGGACTTAAATCGCTTGATTTTTCATGTTCTTGCATTAGAAGATCTTCTTTAAGCAATAATTGTAGAATGTTATCATGACCTTTTTTTGAAGCAAGCATTAAAGCATCTCGTCCATCTTCATCCACGCGTTTAATATCAGCTCCGCCGTTGATAAGTAACTCTACTATTTTGTCATGTCCATTCTTTGAAGCAAGCATTAAAGCATCCCATCCCTTTGTATCCACACGATTAATATCAGCTCCGCCGTTGATAAGCAACTCTACTACTTTGCCGTGTGAATTACGTGATGCAATCATTAAAGCATCCCATCCTTTGTTATTAACAAGATTAATATCAGCTCCGCTGTTGATAAGTAACTCTACTATTTTGTCATGTCCATTCTCTAAAGCAAGCATTAAAGCATCCCTTCCATCTGTATCCACACGATTAATATCAGCTCCTCCGTTGATAAGTAACTCTACTATTTTGTCATGTCCATTTCTTGATGCAATCATTAAAGCATCCCATCCACACTTGGTTACACGATTAATATCAGCTCCGCTGTTGATAAGCAACTCTACTACTTTGCCGTGTGAATAACGTGAAGAAAGCATTAAAGCATCCCATCCATCTCTATCCACACGATTAATATCAGCTCCGGCGGTGATAAGTAACTCTACTATTTTGTCATGTCCATTTCTTGATGCAATCATTAAAGCATCCCATCCATAGTTGATTACACGATTAATATCAGCTCCGCCGTTGATAAGCAACTCTACTACTTTGCCGTGTGAATAACGTGAAGCAAGCATTAAAGCATCCCATCCGTCGTTATTTACATGATTAATATCAGCCCCGCCGTTGATAAGTAACTCTACTAGTTCGTCATGTCCATTCTGTGAAGCAAGCATTAAAGTATCCCATTCATCTGTATCCACACGATTAATATCAGCTCCGCCGTTGGTAAGTAACTCTACTATTTTGTCATGTCCATTCTGTGAAGCAATCATTAAAGCATCCGATCCATCTGGTTTAACACGTTTAATATCAGTACCGCTAGTGATAAGTAACTCTACTATTTTGTCATGTCCATTTCTTGATGCAATCATTAAAGCATCCCATCCATCTGTATCCACACGATTAATATCAGCTCCGGCGGTGATAAGTAACTCTACTATTTTGTCATGTCCATTTCTTGATGCAATCATTAAAGCATCCCATCCATCTGTATCCACACGATTAATATCAGCTCCGGCGGTGATAAGTAACTCTACTATTTTGTCATGTCCATTTCTTGATGCAATCATTAAAGCATCCCATCCATCTGCTTTAACAAGTTTAATATCAGCCTGGCCGTTGATAAGCAACTCTACTACTTTGCCGTGTGAATAACGTGAAGCAAGCATTAAAGCATCCCATCCATCTGTATCCACACGATTAATATCAGCTCCGGCGGTGATAAGTAACTCTACTATTTTGTCATGTCCATATCGTGAAGCAAGCATTAAAGCATCCGATCCCCTATTGGTTACATGATTAATATCAGCCCCGCCGTTGATAAGTAACTCTACTATTTTGTCATGTCCATTCTGTGAAGCAATCATTAAAGCATCCGATCCATCTGGTTTAACACGTTTAATATCAGTACCGCTAGTGATAAGTAACTCTACTATTTTGTCATGTCCATTTCTTGATGCAATAATTAAAGCATCCGATCCATTATTGGTTACATGATTAATATCAGCTCCGGCGGTGATAATTAACTCTACTACGGTCTCATGTCCATTCTGTGAAGCAAGCATTAAAGCATCCCATCCATCTGTATCCACACGTTTAATATCAGCCTGGCATTTGATAAGTAACTCTACTACTTTGGCATGTCCATTCTGTGAAGCAATCATTAAAGCATCCCATCCGTCGTTATTTACATGATTAATATCAGCTCCGCCGTTGATAAGTAACTCTACTACTTTGTCGTGTGAATTACGTGAAGCAAGCATTAAAGCATCCCATCTGTCGTTATTTACATGATTAATATCAGCTCCGCCGCTGATAAGTAACTCCACTATTTTATCATCTCCATTTTTTGAAGCAAGCAGAAACGCTTTACCTTCATCTTCATCTACACGATTAATATCGGTTTTGCTGGTGATAATCAAATCTACATTATTAGTATCATGTCCAACACTTGATGCCATAGTTGAAGTGTTTAATTCACCTTTAATCATAATATTAACATTCTCTCCTTTTTTTATTAGCTATCCTATAATTGTATCATTATCAAAATGCGTTGAAAGAATTTTGAAAAAAGTAATGGACCGTGCCGAATGCTTCTATAAGCAAGCTGGTCTTTTTTATCTTCAGTTCATGATGCAAGAGTGTATTATAATTTTCCAAATAGCCGTTGAAACACCATAACGCTGAGTTTTTTCTCTACAACTATTTATTGATACCTAAGTATTTAGCTAAGCATGATTACTTACTAATTGTCTTTATTAACAATGCAGTTTCATATTGGCACCAGCTCTTTGTCGATCTTTTCTTGTTGTATTTTTATAGGCGGAATTTTTTATCACATTTTATTAAAATTTCGACTTTTTTGAATTTCGAAATACAATCATTAATTCATCATCTTTGAGTTTGATTCTCTTAAATAAAATATTTGTTTTAGCATTGTTTCCTAAAGCTATGTTATTAGATTAGTTTCAAATCTCTTAGCCGATATCAAACGTTCCTGTGGTTTACCAGACTTTTAGCAGCAAACAGATCCTTATTAATTAATTTATTTTGGCAACATAGTTCATCAAAAGATAGACTTTTAATTTTAGAAAAAAAGAAATGTATTTGCATAGCTTGTCTTGGCATTTGTATTAATTTCTTGTTAGACGTCGTAAGCACAATTTTCGTACTTTTTATTGCGCACTTTGTTATGTCGCATTAGTGCCACCTTAATTCAGTTTCTTCATTATCAAAGAACATATATTTTCATTTCGTACAAAGTTGTTTTACACAATGTTTCGTCGTTTAAAAGAATATCGTTGCTATGGACTTGACTTTTTAACAAGCGAAGTTTTAGTTTTGAATTCATTTGATGAGTTCACCTGAAAAAAAATCTTTATTACATCTCGATTCCCAATGCTTTAAATGCTTTAATTTGCATAGCTCAATATGTAAACAATTCCTTAAAGCCAACATAAAAAAAAATGAATCTTTCAAGTTACCAGTCGTGTTCACTATCGTCGGCCACGACGACACATTACAATACTCGTACATGTTGTAAAACGTAGTTGTCTTAAAGAATTAAAGAAAGCAGGGATATATTAGGGGGTTACAAAATCAACAGCAGAGAACCGGACAAAAAGGGAAATTATTGTTGAGGCACTATAATACACAAGGACTAAAGAGGGTTAAGTAAGAAGGTACTTGATATAAAATGACATCTATAATTTAATGTTAGAAATTTGAAACATAAATGTACATTCTAGCAAAATGTAACTTTTGAAAATGTAGGTATTTAGTTTTAAAACAAGAACAATATAACGTGGAGAAATGTATCCTTGTGTAGAACACGTTAAACATGACTCCAGTTAATCTTACAAAACGTTAATAGCAAGAGATGTACACAAATACTAAATTCAAATTTTAGAGTATGTAGGAGTGTTTTAAGTGGATGTTGATGATGGTAACACGATGAGTATAGCAAACAATACTTATGGTAGCTTGCTGATAAACACACACAAATATATACACGCACACGCGCTCGCGTGAACTCTCGCATACACACGAATACTATGTGTTATACATGTCTACTTTTATGATTTCGAATGTTTTTCAATTTGAAATTATTAGTATAATACATATTTTCCAGAGAGAGCGATTATGGTACTAGTTAATTGATAGGCAATGATATGTAATAAAAGTCAAGGATAAATTAATCGCAGGAAAACGAACAAGGGTTTCATTATATATTTTTAACGTCCTGTAAATGGCTATCAACAATTAACGCAATATGAATCAACGTAAATGTATATGGCAATTATAAGCTACTTAGCACTTGGTAAAGCAGATATCCTAATATATAAAAGGCCACGTTCGCACTTCTCTCTCTCTCTCTCTATCTCTCTCTGTCCGCAAAATATTTTCGCCGGACATCACGTCAGAATCGGCAGCGATATATGAAGAACTTTATACGAACTTTTGTTGAAAATAATATGTTAGATGTTTTAAATGTATAACCACAATGTTATTTAAAGAAGAAAAATAAAAACTAAAGGCGTATTTGAATATAGAGAAACAGTATTATTTATGCAACCGGAAAAGCATTTAAACTTGGGACAAGAATGCATTTAACAATGACGTCGCTTATTGTTTACACTAAAAAAAGAGCACGAAACTGATGACGTCATCTTCCGAGTTTAGAATAAAAAGAAATGAACTATTTCATTCAAATATGATTTAGAGCTAGATATCTATGTACGCTATAAATGTATACAATACGATTTTCTCGGCCTAAACTTAAACAAATTATTTTATCTATTTGGATTCTAGATCTAGAGATTCTAGATCTAGATTTAGACTCTGTAGAATCTATTCCAAAAATAAATTTCTATAATAAACCTTTTCAGGACTTAAATATTTTATAGAAATCTTTGTTTGTTTAGCAACGAAACTGGCTAATTTTGGGTAAAAAAATTAATTTGAAAAAAAATAGGCATATTTGCCTAAGTTATTTTTTTTTTAAACACTTCTTTTATTCTCCATATTTTAAAGGTACCTAATTAGCTGATGTTGCCGGATCGAGACACACCAAGTCAAACCTAATTTTTTTTATATGTGAATCTTCCTATTTTTAACACGTTTTTCTTAACTCAGCTTCGCGTTTATTTGTTTGTTTGTTTGGATGTTTGTTGTTAAAATTGACATCGAAAATTAGCCCACTTCTGATTGCTCTAGAGATCTGAAATTTGGCATGCAGGCTATTTTCGCCTAACAACTTCAGATGCAATCATAAAAACTAGCAATTAGAGACCTAAATTAGCTTAATTAAATTACGACCCCAGGAACATAAAATTGAGGACATGTTTTCTAAAGCAAAAAATATCAATCCAGATTTATCAAAATATCAAAATTAAGAGGTTTTATCAGTGGCGGAGTGGTCTAGCGGTAAAGAGTTGGACTGCTAACCCGTTACTCTCAGGTTCGAATTCGGGTTTAAGTCAGTAGACCGTCCCTGAGTCCACCCAACTCTGATGGGTACCTAAAAAATCCTCTAAAATTTTATGTATTTAAAAACACTTAGTCAAGTCATACTTAATTCAAGTCATTGGATAAAGTAGAAAATAAACTATATAAAAACTTTTTAAAAACCACGTTTTTCATGTGTAGCAACGGACTAAAAAGGAGAAAATAAAATACTTAAAAAAAACTTTTGAAAAAACCACGTTTTTCTTGTGGACTAAAAAGTAGAAAATAAATTTTGTGCTTCCTCGAGCTGTGCAGGTTCTTGTGATGACTGTTCATACATTTGATGACAAAAAACGTGGGTCGGGCAGATGGGTCTGGAAATTTGATGCCTACACATTTTACACACAATAGAGAAGACAATTTAAATACAGCTAAATACTAAAGAATATATACATTAATGTTAGAAAATAAATACAGTACATCCAACAAATCACCCCCCCCCCTCATCGTTTAAAAGAATACAAGTAATATTCTACTTTATCAATAAATACGTTTGTATAATTTAAGATCTTAAACTAATGAAAATAACAACACACCATATTAGATGATGATCTAGGGCAGAAGGAAAAACCCGACACAGTCGACTACACATGTTCACAAGACGACTACGACACTCATTTAACTTGCGTGTAGGTGTAGAGTGTAGCGACAAGTGGTCTATAGACTCCATGTTTCGAATACAGCAGTATGTTTTTAAACGTTCTATAATACAATGCTTGGGGATATAAGTCAGTTAGTTACGCTGACATTTTGTTATGGAAATCATATATAAACACGTTTTTTTTTTACTTTCTCGTATATGCGAAGTATATAGAAAGTCTTGTAATCGTGGAAAGAAAAATCGAGTTTTTTGGAAACCTCGACGTTTTACATCTTACTGATACGAAAAAACATAATTTTGCAATCTGGTCCGTATGTCTGTATGTGTGTGTGTGTGTATGTGTCTGTAAACACGATAACTTAAGTACCGTCAGAACTAAGTTGATGAAATTTCATATATAAGTATTTTATCAAAATCGTATCAACTTTTGAGTGATTTCCGATAAACGGAAGTGGTACTTTTTTTTTGAATTTTTTAAAAGCCTATAACTTGAGTACTATTTCAGATAGATAATTAAAATTTCACATGCTAGTAAAAGATCTAATTCTCTACCTTTAGTAATTTCCGTTGACTGTAAGTAGTAATTGCCGCTATTTCCAATTTCTCAAAAAACGCATGTAAATTTATAAAGTACTAATAATATTGCGCACTATTATGCACATTTTGTTTTGGCGTTCACTTGGTGCGCAATTCTTTTTTCTACTAGATTCTATTCTATTTTTAAAAGTTTAAGTAAACAAAAATCATGCTATATTCCGAGTTGCCATCCCACGTAGTGTTATATTAGAATATTCGAGAAATTTTACGGGAGATAACTACCAGTTTATTTCTAAATAATATCTTTCTTTTTTTGTCTACGGTGATTATATACTCAGAGAAGGTGCTCCTCTCCTGGAGAATAAACTAAAATAAATATTTACTAGGCGTTCTTGTAAAGTGTTCCGTCATATGAGATTTTTGGTACCATAGTAGGAAAATAATTAAACTGAATATTTAAAAAAGAAATGAAAACTAACAAATAATTATAAGTGTGTTCTTTAAAAAGTATTAACGTTTATATTAATTTAGATTTCTAGCTTAAGATAATTTTTAATACTAGACTACCCGTTATCTAGTTTGATAACAGTTGGTTTCGGGGGTCATCAATAAATGACACCACGTCTTTCACTTATAATCACAAAATAACCAGAACCCACATTCAAACAAGATGTTTTTATCTTTTAAAAACACCGATTTCAGCTGAGCATGGGTCTGACCCCACTATTCCTTCATATACTGACGTCACTACTCAACTCTACTTCACCTGCCCAGGGTCCCGCCGTGTCACAGACAACATGTTTACGTCGTTTAAAAAAAAACGATTCCGGCCGAGCATGTCTCTGACCACACTATCCTTTCTTATGCTGAGGACAAAGAAACAGGTCAAATCTACTTCACCTGCCCTGTATCCGAACAAGTTCAGATAGGCAACTTTATCATTCACATCTAAATAAATGACATTTTTTTTAACATTGACGTGTTGTGTCTAGAACTCGTGCCACCCGCATGAAAGCCTATTACACTAACACTGACTCGCTAAGTCATTGATGCTTTTATTATTGTATAATTTAATACTTTGAGTTTCCTTATGCAACTTGATTTACGCGCATAGGCCATATCTAGATCTAGATCTAGTAACTTTCAAATGAAATGTTAT